CCGTCTGGGGGCCGCCTGCTGTCTGCTGGCCAAGCCTGGAGGCTGAAAGGCCGAGGGCTAGCAGGAAGCGGGGCTGAGTAGCCACGAAATGAGATGAGGCCCAGGCCTGCTGGTCGTGGGCCGGGGCCTGGCGGTGTGGTGGGAGCCAGGCCCCATCATCTCCCCCGGTCTGTGTGGGGCACCCTGGAGAGGAGCAGTGTTCTCAGAGACACCCAAGGGATGCGAAACACACCGCTGATCCCTCCTGTGTGCCACAAGTGCTGCCAGGCTGCTCTTGCCTGAAGCTGAAAGCCGGTTGTTCTGGGGGAAGGTGGAGCATTAAAATCCCAAAGAAACGCCTCTGGGGTCCCTGACCCAACAGAGGGCTTCTAAGAAAATCCCCTGGGGAGTACCAAGGGAGAATGGGATTTCTGGCTCTGCACATCCCCTTCCTGCTAATATTCCCATAGGGGATGAAGTAGATTGTTGCACTGAAAAAAATAAATGCTGCTGGCCTGGTGCCTGGGAGCTCCCTGGGCAGCAGCAACGCGTGCACAGCACCAGGGGCAGCCACACAGCAGCTCCAGGCCCCATCCCTGGGGCTCCCCAACCACCTGTGGTATTGCAGCCTGCGGAGGAGGAAACCACAAGGGTATGGCCCTGGTCAGCAGCTCTGTGGGTGTGTTTGGAGGTATTCTCCAGAGCAAGGGGAATAAAAAGTCAATCGTAATTAATTTACCCCACACGTTTTGCCCCAAGGGTGATCGGAGAGTCCAGTTGCTTCTTAACTCCTAAGTCCTGTCCGCTGGTGTGAGGGTTAATGCACCCACGGGCTCTGAGCTGTGTGTGACCATGTCAGCACGTCCCTCAGCCAAGCAAGGCATTGCAAATGCCATGTGAAATAGGTTAACCCTGCTCCGGCTTCATGCCCTGCCGAGGCGAGTGATGTTAATGTCTCTCTGTTGGCACTGCCGGAGCACGTGTACGATCAGCAGCCAGCCTTCTCCTCAGCTGTGCTGGCTTCCTGAAGCAAGTTAACCCGAACGCTTGCAGCCACCTTTCTGTATCTCTGTTGTGACAATTTGGTAAAGTGCCTCTCCTCGTTAGCTCGTAGTCACAGACTCTTCACAAGGTCCGCCCTCGGTTCAGACGGCAACATTTATTTTGGTCCTGCTGTGGCGTTGCCGTACCCATGCACATGTCTGAATTTTCCAGACATCCTCCAGCCCCGCGGGAGCCACTCTCCCAACAGACTCCAGATGTCCAGAAAACACAGACAAGTGCCCTGACCCACCCTATTCAGCCTGAAGCAGATTTCCAACTGGAAAAAGTAAGGATGCCTCGGCAGCTCCGGTGGTAGTAGGCTAAGGCTTCCAGGAAAATGGAGCTGTTGCTATTCCACATCAAATCTGGAAGAAAAACAATCATTCCCGTGCGGCCTTCAGCTATGAGGGTCTCCTCTGGATAAAACATACAGATTTCATGTTTGTTTATGCTCTTGACATATACTTCCCCAGTCAGTCACTGCCTTTCCACATTTGTTGCTGCTGCCTCCTGCCACGAGTGCCAATCACTTTGGACGGCAAATGCCACTTGCCAACTGTATGTGGGTGCAGTCTTCAATTTAGGAAGCCCTTTGTGTTCTTCCTGTGCATGAGATCATCAGCTTTTTCCTATGCTTCTTGCAGCAAATATGAAAACTTCCTTTCACTATAGGGGCACTGTGATGTCTGGACTAGATTGATTGGATTTAATTCTGCGCAATGTGCCAGCACTAAAAGGTTTTCACTGTTCAGTCCTAAAAGCCTTTAGCAAAAGGCATTCAGCTTCTGTGTGTGCTGCCCCTGAAGGCATGCTCCTGCTTCTGCAAAGGTCCTCAGGAAAGGGAGGCAACAGAAAGCTGCGGACAACAGAAATGTCGTGAAGAAGATTGCTGTGCTCTGCTGTCTCCTAATGAACGAGCAGCAGCGAGATCAGGCTGAAAGACAGCAAACCTAAAACTGGTGTCTCATGAAATGCAGCTACGCTCCCTCAAGTCCCTGCCTTGCATTGCTGCGGAGGGAGGGAGAGGTTTTGCAGATGCCAAAAAGCCAAAAAGCCGTGCACAGGCTGACCTGTGTGTGGAAGCAGTGTGGGGAAGGAGTGCAGCAGGGACACAAGTCCTTATGCCCAAGGCACAGGTCAAGGCCTCCTCATGTGTGGTCAGAAGGAAGCTTCACAATAAGAGGTTGTGTTGGGGTTTGTTCCTGCCTGTGGCTGCCAGCCCATGCTGGATGCTGGCCACGTGGCTGAGCCCCAGCAGCACCAACACGGCGTTTGCCTTCACCTTTGGGCACTGCGGACTTCCCAGTCAGCACAGGCAAGGAGCAGAGGCCAGAAGGCTTTAAAACTTTCTTCCTTATTCTTGAGCACAAATGCCTAAGAGCTCCCAGGTCCATTATGAGAGGTGAGAGGCCCTTGGCCCTGGGCTGCTGCAGTTGGAGCACTTCAGGAGCCGGCACAGAAGAGGTCAGGGCCGGTGCCCACCAGCCCCACAGAGGGCAGCCCTGAGGCTGCTCCACTCTGACCCTGTGCCATCACCTCTCCGAGGCTCGCATGGCTCCCCTTCAGCCCCAATAATAAGTTCTGGTCCGAAAATGAAGTGTGTATTTTTAATGGTTTTATTAAATCTTAGCCCACAAGAAAAGCAGGTCTGGGTGGATTCAGACAGATCCTTCCGAAAAAATGCCATCCGTCACCAGGCCTCCTGTTCATGCTGGCATTGCCTTTCTATTGTACGAGGCTGGAGATCCATTTCAGTGACCGTGTGCCACTGCTCTCTGCTGCTGCATGAAGGGCTCCCACAGCTTGAAGGATTTCAAACACCAAACTCCAGAAACCAATTTCGACACTGAAGTTCCAACTCCAGAAGTGCCCACATTCACAACAGCCAGAGTGAGTTTTGTGAAGGCCGTAGTACAGGGTCAAGCTGCTTTCCAGCGTGTTGTTATTTTTATTACATCTCAGTTGAGTGGTTTGAAAGCTGATCCACACGAGCAGTGAACAATGGAGCCCTTGGTTTTGGTGCTAGCTCCCCAGTGGGTCTGGCTTTGTGCATCGTGCCTGCAGGAGACGGGGCGCATGGCTCTGCATGTGGCTGTCCCTCGTCCACTCCCACTTTGGGGAGCCACAAAAGCCCAGCTATCAAAACCCAAATGACAGAAAAATTCAGTAGTGGTGATTTAGAACTGCCAGTCAGCTCCTCTTCAGCCTGCAGCGCAGGGAATCCTTTTCCTGCCTGGTAGCTCCATCCCAGGGAGACCACCACGTGCGTGGTGACCCAGGAGCGGGGTGATGCAGCCCTCAGCACATCCCAGCTCCCTGGGGTGCAGGGAGTGCAGTAGCACTGCCCAGGAATTTCCAAATATTTGTGTTTGTTTGCCTGCTTCACCCCCAAACTGAACATTTGGGAAGGTTGAGCCTTTTTTCATCCTGAACAGCCAGAAGTCTGAGCGCTGCCGGCTCATTCCTCTGTCCCAGCAGGGTCGGAGCCCTGCTCCCCGGGTGGAGGAGGCTGTGAACTCAGCAGCTCGGGCTGGATTCAGGGAATCACTTAAGGATGTCTAAAAACCCCAACAGCTTCAGATCCATTCTTAGCTCTGGCAAAACGCTTCAGCATATGGTCCTGAACAGAGGCTTAAAATAAATCCCACGGAAGTGCTTTACCAAGCTGGGGCACTGTCATGTGCCTCTGCCGACAGCCTTCAAATTTTGCGAATTCAGCCTTTATCGGGCACTTCGTGAAGTTCAGCAAAAGTAGATATAGCAAACAAAAGCTAAACAAGTGTAAAACCAGGCAGCCAAAAACTACCCACGGGGCACGAGCTGGAGCCGTGGTGCCTTCACTGAGATGCGTTTTGCTGAGCTCTGGCATGGCTTAATGCTTTTCTCCCTCCAAAGTGACTGTCAGGTGCCATGTGAAGAAAAATAACAAAATGCTTCAAAGGAGCTTGACCTTGTACTACATACCCGTAACAGCTCTGCGTAATGAAAAACCAGAGCAAACAACTCATTCAGCGAGTGCCCTGAGCAAAAGCTAACTGCTGTGCTGGCCCCACAGGGTTTCCACCGGGCAGCTCTTCAAGAAAGCAGTCCAGGACAGAGGACTCCAAGTAAAACAACGTTTTGTTGTCAGCAGAATGAGGAAACGATGAAGTCCTCAGAGCATTGTGCAAGCCTCGGCGAGACACAGTGCAAAAAGCTGCAGTGGCAGGGGTGCTGGATGCGGGGAGCAGTGCTCGTGGGGTGCCCTTGCTCAGCGGGTCAGGACCCAGAGAGAGAGGGGCTTGCACACCTCCGGACACCTTGACAGGAGAGGACAAACTCATTCACGCTTTATTTTTGAGTTTCTAAGTGGAACTCTGCACAATGGAGACAAACAGAAAGTTAAGTATAATCTGGGGTGTACTTTTAAAGAAGTGTCACTGCCTTGATCTTGTTCAGCTGGAGTAAGTTTGCTCTGCAAGAAATGTCGGTGAGAGCTCCACAGCCCCGGCAGCGTTAGCAAATGCCACTTCAGTTCAAACAAAACCTCTCCGCTGGCCTCTCTCTTTTTTTTTTTTTTTTTTTTTTTCTTTTTTCCTGCTGCCATTACTTCTCCTGGCTCCTGCTTCTTATCTCCTCTCCAAAGCCTGAAAACCACCTGCCCCTTCCAGCCCAGCTCCCAGGCCAGCCACAGCCATGGTGCCGTACTGCGGGACCGCTCTGCGCCTCCTGTGCCTTCTGCAGAGGGGTGCCCGCACCACCAAGCGCGTCCCTGGGGAGCCTGCTTGTCACTAAGAGGGGCGACGAAGTTTCACACAACCCCTGGCTGCCTCCATTTCCCCCCACGTTAACCATTTCCAACTCATCTACTATTAAATATCTGCTGGTTGGCCTGGATTTTTTACATACCTCAGCCCGTACTTTATATCGCGACCTGACTTAGTGCAGATATGTCCAGTTTTTCACACTTTTAAGTACAAAAGTGAGGTTTTACACCGTAACCACAGCTTGGAGCACGGGAACAACCACCAGGACGTGTGAAAGCACCGTGCTGGTGAGGCTCAGCGGCTGCCCACACCCCTAATGGAAACCGATTGCAGCTGAGCAGCAAGCAGTAATGATGTAATGGTCTCTGGCATTTCACCCTGATAATGTCACGGTCTTTATAGCCTCTTTAATACATTTCATTGCCTGACGCCGTTTGGTACCTGACTTTTGTAAAATCAATGAGTGAAAATAAAATCCTTTTACAGATCAGGATTCTTCCTGCGGAGAAGGGAACACCCAGATGCAGGCAGGGAGGTCATGGGGGAGTTTATGAAAGGCAACGAAGCACGTGGGGCTTGTGGAGAGTGCGGTGCATTCTTGGGGTGAAAACGGGGATTTTGTGACCAGCAGGACACTGCGGAAGGGCCGGTGCCTGGCTGCGTCACGCTGGCTCTGCACATCCCGCTGCTGGGAGCCTCACCAGGTGCTCAGCACGTGGAAGAGCCAAGCACGAGCCGCAGCTGTGTCAGATGCCACAGGTACAATGTGGCCACATCCCTGCTCTGTGCCTCGGCTCCTTTCTGCCAGGAAGAGAGTGCAACTCCCGCCTTGTTCCCTTCGCTGTGCGAGCATCTTCAGGCAGGGATGCTGCGCCGCTCGCTTGCCAGTGAGGGTTCCTGACCCCGGTGAGTCTCTGGGCACTGCTCCAATAACTTTGCTGCCAGCAATTACACTTATAGAGGATTTTTTTTTCTGTCTTGTGGTAAAACACGCATTGTTTTTAACCCCAGCTTGGGGGACCTGCTGTTGACATCTGATGTCACCGGAGCTTTGCTCTCCGCAGCTGGCAGAGCGTGGAAATGCCTCCTGATGTAATGATAGTGTTTGTGCAAGGAGGATTAAGCATTCATTTAAGATGTGCTCTGGTGCCATGGTGACAAACAAGGTTAATAAACTCGGGGCTGAGGCGGGAGGTACCTTCAGCTGACTCCACAGCTGGGCACCTCCAAACCTCGGGAGCGTTGGGGAAATGCGTTTTCGGGGCAGGGTGGCCCAGGATGGGAGCCCAGGGATGGCTTTGACCTAAGGCATTTCCAGCCTGGACCAGGGATGTGTGGTGTTCCTGGCCCATCCACTGGGGATGGGCGATGCCCAGAGCGCTGCAAGGGATCCTGCTGCGGGGACCCGTGGCTGCAGCCTGCCTGCAACAGCGGCTTCCCCCATGGGACCTCCCTGGGGGATGCAGGTGCCCGGCTCCATCACAGAGGTGCAGATTTGCTCTGCACCTGTGTTTGAGTCACGGCACCGAGGCTTTACAATATTCCTGTGCAGCACAAACAGCGCTTACTTGGAAAAAAAAACCTTCCTGTAAGAGCAAGGTATTCTGCGATTGCCCATCTGGGGCTTCTTAAACCAACGTTTGAGCGATGCCCTGGTGGAGGGGGTGCTGGGATAAGTGGTCTGTTGGTAATTTCCCTGTTTCCAAAACTCTCCTCCAAATGGTGATTCAGTGCCTGGCATTCAGCCCCCCAGCCCCAGCCCCTTGCACGTCTCCCCTGGGAGGACGCTGCTCCTTGCCCTCGGAGATCAAACCCATCCACGCAGAGGCAGGGAAGAAAGCTGTTAAAAATTTCATTTGCCTCTCTCCAAAAAAAAAAAAAATAACTGCAAGGGGAGTAAATAAATTAGCTTGTTACCCGTGAATTCGGCCCAGCTGTCTAGGAGTTACTCATTATTTTGTTGGCAGCTCGGAACTGGAGCCAGGTAGCCTGGTGGCAATTCCTCACCTCCCCAGGCACGTGGGCTTGTTTTTAACGCGCAGGGAGCAGCGCTGGGCGCAGGACACTCGCGTCGTGCATGAGACTCGGACCAGGATCCGACCAGCAGCTCTCCTGGCCACCCCGTGCCTGGAAAGCCAGGCCCAGAGGGACACATTGGGAGAAGCGAGGAGCTCCAAGGATGTGGTGCGAAGCTCCGCGTGGCCCCTGCGTGCTGGGCTCAGCCAGGGCGGCCGCGGCTCCGGTTGGGGCAGGCGCTCACGTCGGCTGCAAGAAATGAACGTCAGCCGCGTTGTGAGGATGCGTGGTTTTATTTTTCAGCTTCCCCTTTGTAGCTGTTCCCAATCTGGTAACAAAGACTTTAACCCTTCGCTCAGGCGCAACGAAACCGTTCTTTTCCTTTTAAGCCTGTTTGGTGTTGACAGCGGGTTTGGCTGCAGCTGGCAGAAACGGGGCACATCTCTGTCACAAGAGCTGAACGCAGTAATGTGCAGAAATTGGTGGTATGGAGAAAGCCTTGGGGAGGCTATAACTCGAGGCAAGTTTGGGGTCCTTAGGACAGGGGAATATTTCCATTACACCGCAAGCCACAAAAGCAGCCCGAGGGGCTTGGTGGGGGTCGGAAGCAAAGCAAAGACTGCCGTTACAGCGAGCTTTACAGGTTTATTCATTTTTAATTCTTTCGACCTAGAAAATGCAAACAGCATCTTGTAGCCCCAGACGGCAACAGGAGAGCCACGGGGCTGCGTGCCCGAGGCACTGCCACACTCCTGGCCACAGAAAGACCTGCTGCCTGGGACCACGAGGCAGCCACCTGAGCCACCTTCTCCCCAAACTGCGTTCCCATGGGAGACCCAGACTCTTGCCCTCTGCGACCAACCAGGGCTGAGGCACAAAGAGTGGAGGACGGCTCCCAGGCACCCCGCAAAGTGGTTTTGGGATGTGCAATGGGTTCCCCGGGTGGGGTGTGTGTCTGGGATGCTTGGGTGGGATGAGTGGGAAGGGTGCCACATGGGATGCGCAGCGAGATGCTCTCCAGAGCCTCCCTGGCTTGCAAACGGAAGGGAAGAGCTGCGGGCAGGAAGCTCCCAGGTGTCTGCAATGGCACCAGCAGGGACCTGAGGACAAGGGATAATGGCAGCACAGAGCCACCAGTGCCATCCTTCATGCTGCCCCAGGACGGGTGACACGGAGGTGCCAGCGGGGAACCAGGGGATGGCAGCCGGGCAGCTGGGTGCTGTGCGTGTGAGCTCTGACCACGCAGGTCTTTTATCTTCCTGCTCCCGGTGTCTTTATTGAGCAGGGCATAACTTTCCGGCCATGTATTCCTGCAGCCAAAAAAATAACTCCGTGCTCTTTAAGGAGGTAAATTTTCTTTAGATCTCACCCTTCAACGAGTGTGCTACAGCGGTGTCTCACGGGGGAACTTGCCAGAGTCCATCCACGTAAATAAAACTATTGAAGACGGTAGGAGGGATTTTTGTGTGTGCGTCTTACTACAGAACTCAAATCCAGGAAAGCTTTTAACAGCAACAAAGGAAACGAGCAGCCTGCACAATGCTTCCCTGCCCGAGCGGCTCAGGCTCACCCGCGCTCTCTCCAGGAACCGCTCCGCCTCGCCAGGTGAGCGCTGCCCCACTTCAAGCCGCCCCAAGCGAGCTCTTTCTGAGCAGAAAGACAGAGGCGATGGGGCACCGGGGAGCTCTATTTCGAGATCAAAGCAGGCGTGATGGAACAGGGCCCGGCGCCAGCGATTTCAGGCTGGAAGCGCCCGTCTGTGCGCGCAGGGCTCCCGCTGAGCCCCCACTCCCAGCGCCGTCTGCTGCCTGCCCATGCCCATGGGGCCCCCCCAGCTCATGCCGTGGCTGTTTCGGCTGCCACCCTGGCTTTTCGGGGCGAGCAGCAGGAGGGTGTTTGTGGGGTGCCACCGGACGAGGCTGCGGACACAGCCCCCTGCTTGGCCGGGGGTGGGCACTGGGAAGCCCTGCAGCAGGGTGCACGTGGAGGTGGCAGGCAGGGGGCAAGCAGAGGGTGCGAGCAGGCAGCAGCAAACGTGGTGGCTGGAATACTTGTAGCAATAAGGAGAAAATAAAAATAATACGTGGTAACATCCCCCCGCATGGCATCGCATGGCTCCCACAGCAGTGAGCACTGGGGGACAGGGGGCTGGCACCTCGAGGGAGCGTGGGTGAAACCATTGCTTTGCCTCCCCAAGCGACACCGGAACCATGAACTCTGGATACGCAATGCCCTGAAGCAACCATCGGGCTTGCAAAAAAAACCTGCTGAGGCTGAGGCTCCTGCTAAACTCATCACCCACTGCAGAGCGGGGCTGGCCTCTCTAAAATCGCTTGGGGAAGAGGAGCCACGGCCGAGCTGCCCCTGAACGGCCCAAACCGTGCGGGCACCTGAACCTGGCCCCAATACCGGGACACCAAGTCCCGACATCCCCCCAGGGGTCTCTGGAGCATGCATGCTGTGCCATGCAGGACACGGACAGGCTTCCTCCAGGTTTAATTTCAGGGATGGACTGAGAGCTGAGGGGGGTCAGAGGCCCCCCGCTCCCTCCCGCTTGCCCCTGCTCGCAGCTCCTGGCCCCGTTCCCTGCCTCCTGCTGCGCACGGACAGCCTCCAGCTGCCGGGCGGACAGAGCGCGGCTGCTCTCTGTAGCTCTTGGCACGTCGGTCTGTCGGGCAGGAGCCGGGAGGAGGGCTGGGTTTGGGAGGCCCCTCCGGGTGCGGGGCTGCCTGGGGGCACGGTGGCGGGGAGCCCCAGGAGCTGGAACCCCCCCGCTGCCTCTCCTGCTTGTTCTTAAAGAGCTCCAAGCCCCGTGCGAAGAACAGGAGAAGCCTCGTTGCACAGTTTACAAAGAAGCAGTGAAGATGGAATTGTTCCTTTTTAATGCAACTGCAGCTCCGTATCCAACCACGGTGCTGGGAACCAGCACCACGATTACTTTCAGACTCCCCAAGTCGGGGGCTGCCACTGCGGGCTCACAGCACAAACCCCTCTCCCCAGGCATCCCGAGCAGACAGAGACCCCCGGAGGGGACCTGCCCCCCCAAAAAAAACAGTGGCAGGGTCACACCAGGTGGGCAGTGAGAGCCCGGTGGGTGTCCTCCTCCACCCCCTGTGCCGTGCCGAGCAGACACCCGCCCACCCTGCCCGCGGCTGAGCCCCCCTCCCTTGCCCCTAGCCTGCCTGACCCACGGCACCCACGGGTGTCACCCCTGTCCCCCACTCTCATGCTGCCAGCTCACGCCCCGATGCTTGCTGCCTCCCCCCAGCCTCACCCCGAGCCCCCCCGAGCCTCCCCATGCGCTCTGCGCACCCGGCGAGCATCTCCCCAAACTCCGCTTGTCCCGAGGCGAGGGTCCTCGCGCCACCACGGACAGAAAGGGGACAGAAGTGCCGCTGGCTTCTCCCGACACCGAGCAGAGGTTCCCGGGCTGTCGCAGGCTGCCACATCCCCAGGTTCGGAGCAGCTCCATCAGCTCTGCAGCCGTGGGGCCGGTGAGGTCCGGAGCAGCCGGGTGACCCGGTGGCGTTCTGCAGAGCTGCTTGCGGGGTCTCTCCACGCTGGCTGTGGGAAGGGGCTGTGCGAGCCACAGCGTGGGCACCGGGGGACAGAGCTGCCTGCAGCCCGTGGCAGAAGCGGGGATGGCTGCGTGCCGGCCGTGCCGTGGCTCGGCGGGTGGAGGATGGCGGCAGGCTGTCCTCGGGCAGGGTCCGGACCTCCTCGGGTGCCTCAAAGCCAGTGCTGTGCCCCCTATGCCACGGAACAGAGAGGGGGGTCCGTGAGCAGGGTCTCCAGGTGGAGCCGAGCCTCCGACCCCAGCCTGTGTCATAGGGCTCCCTGCTCTAAGGAGACGGGCTCCTGGCGCTGCCTCTTGCGCTGCCTCTCCCGCTTGGCCCGCCAGCACACGTAGGCGGCCACCAGCAGGCCCACCCCGAAGATCAGGGTGGCCACAGAGACCATCTTAGCGATGTCCATTTGCGGGCCATTGATGGTGAAGGTGATGCACGTCGCCGCCACGCCGATGACCACGGAGACGATGCCGAAGGGGAAGATGCAGCGGTACCAGGATTTCTCCGTCCCACCCGTGGCCAGGGCCAGCTTGTTGAGCGTGGCGGTGGAGTCCGTGGCCGTGGCGAGCGGCAGCCCCGCTTTTCCTCCCTGCAGGCAAGTGAGTGAGTTGGACTTGCAGCCCATCATGTTGGCGAGAGCAGCCGGGAACGACGGGTGCAGGGCGCGGGCGGGATGCGGGTCGCGGTCCTGCTGCCCACGCAGGAGGGACGAGGCCGGATCCTACATGGCCAGCTCTGCCCGGGGCTCGGGACGCTTCCGTGCGGCTGGGCTGGAGCTGGGGCAGCCGCTGCTCTGGCTCCCAGCTTGGGCTCCCGGCTCTTTTGCTGCCAGAGGGAGCGGGGATTGGCGGCGGCGGCGCTGAGCTCATGCGGGTGGGAGGACCAGCGCGGGCTCGCTGCCTGTTAACTGTTTCGAGCACTGTGCAGGCAGCTGCCTGCAGCCTGGGATCGCTCCCAGGTTGTTCTCTCCCTCTTTGTGTCTGCTGCCACCAGCCTGGGGCCCGGGTGGGCAGCGCTGGCCCCGCATCGCCCCGGCCCCCGCAACACCCCGCAGTGCAGCCAGGCGAGCGCCGGCCTCCCAGGGCAAGGTCTGCATGGTTTGCTGCTGCAAAGAGCCCCCCGGCAGCAGCACCAACCGCTCCTTGCCCTTGGAGCACTGATATTGCCTCCTGCTGATGTGCCCTTTCTCCCCTTTCACCCCCTGATTTCCTTGTACCAGCTCCGTCCCCTGGCACAGGGCTCAGGGCACCCTCACCGCGAGCCCCAAGGGGACACCGGTGGCACTGGAGGAGGCTGAGGCTGTGGAGGGGCAGAGCTGCAGCAAGGACAGCACATGTGGGAACAGCATGCACGACACGCAGAGAGGCTTCAAAGACCCGCAGCACTCCTGTCCCGGGCCTCTCCCCTACAGCACTCCCTGCTTCCTCTCCTTCGAGCGCCCAAATCCTGAGTAAAGAGGAGTGATTTTGGAACGGCGATACTAAACACACGCAGGGTTGGCTCTGCAGCCTGCTCCAGCGCAGCATCACGCACTTGCAGCAGCTGTAGCATGGCAAGAAAGCTGCCTCCGTCCTGGCCAGCTCCATCCCGGGCTGGTGGGGAGATGCAGGAGGACAGGGTGAGGATGTGAACAGCCCAGGGAGAGACCAGAGGGACACAGAGGCCGGAGCTGGGGGGGAACAGCTCCTATCTGCACTCTTTGCTCCTGCACTGTTTTTGATTTTTTTTTTTTTTTAATTGGTTTTCCTGAAGGAGAAGGGAAAGGCATTAGGCATTGCAGCAAATGTACGAAACCTGGAGCCATTCCCAGGTCAGAGCTTCCCCCGAGCTTGTGGGGCCCAGCCGCCTCCCTGCACCGTCAGGAGGCCCGGAGGAAGGCAGAAGCAGGGAAGAAAGCCCACAGTGAGGTGGGAAGGGACAAAATCTGAGCTGTGCAGAGAGTGGGGTCTACAGAGAGGTGAGAAGGTGAAAAAGCAGAGGAGCTGCCACAGGATGTAGTGACCTGGGACAGGAGAGGTTTGGGTGTTACTCTGGGTATGGGATGGGTACAGGGACCTCACTCCCTGCACCCTGGAGCTGCGCAGAGGGCTTTGGCCCCAAGGACCCCGCAGCACGCCGTGCCCATCCTCGCTGCCAGGCTGCACGGCTCCCCTTGCTGCTGCTCGGTCCCAAATCCACGGCTGCCCAGCTCTCCTTTGTCAGGACTCACGAGGCCGCACGCAGCACCGGGCACGGCGACCTTCCCGGCTCCGCGTGGCTCTTTCAAGGCACGCCACCCACTTGCTGCTCGCTGCGAAAAGGCACCGTGCCCCGAGCAGCCCCGCTCCGCCAGCCCGCGCTGCTGACACCCACAAAGGGAACCCGCAGCCGCAGCCGGAGCCGTTCGGAGGCAGGGGAACTGCAAGAATTGTGTTTCTTTGTACACAAAGCAATTTGGGAAAGCAGGAGGCTCACAAAGGGGACTGAGCGTTTTATAGGGGCTGTGCTGCTATTCATAGGGATTTGTGTCACCGCAGCTGCGCCCATGCGTGTCGTGAGCCGAGCACATCTGCACCCATCAGAATGCAGCAGTGGGGGCAACCGGAGGGAGAGCACAACCCCAAGGGGCTCGGGGAGCCCAAACCCACCTGCTTTGGATGCTCAATGCCCACAACCAGCAGCACGAGCCCGTGCCCGGGCTGTTTGCTGCTCCCAGGGCAGTGCGCGGGTGCCAGCGAGCCCTGGACCCCGGCACAGCCCCCCCTGGCCTGGCACATCTCCCCCAGCCAAGGCACCCTGCTGACCTGCCCCAGGGATGCTTTTCTTCTGCCAGCTCATTTTGCAGGACCTTTCTCTGCTGTGCTGTTGGAGCTTTGCTGCACAAGCAGCCTGGGAGCGCCAGCCAGGGGTGCCGGGAGCCCTGCACACCGCAGCAGCCCCTGCTCCCACCCCAAAGCTCGGGCTGGAAGGAGCATGGGGAGCTGCAGCCCTGAGGACAGCACCCCAGGGGAATGAGGACTTTCCCCGCTCCCAGCAGGTGCAGCACTTCCAAGCAGAGGAGCAAAGCCCCCGCTGCACCCAGAGAGCGCAGCCTTCGTGTCCCACGGGGACCTCCTAATACTCCAAAAACAGCTTAAAAGAAAATCGCTCTTTGAACAGTGAAAAAGCAGAGGCCATGCATCGCAGAGGTGTCCTGGTTTTGCCCTCTTGTTTGAACAGAAAAGCAAAATGCCTCGGCAGGACGAGGCCAGAGCTGCGCAGGGCTCAGGGTCACCTCCAGGAAATTTCTTTCCCTTGCCTTCAAAGAGCAGCCCCACGGACTCGCCCTTCTCCATCCCGAGGCCAAAATCGGGCAGATTTTTCTCCGGTTGCACGGCAGATTTCTGCAAAACCCCCACATGCTCTCAGGGAAAGAGGAAACAGCTTCAAGCTGGGCAGCAACGGTGTCAGCCTGTTCTTTTGCCTTTTTTTTTTTTTTTGGTTGTTGTTTTGCACCCTGCTCCGTGGCAGACGGACTCCTCCGCCCGCACCCTCCGCGCTCCTCCTGCGGCGAGCCGAAGGGTGCAATTTTCATGGCAGAAATAGGGACTCGCCTGTGCCACCTCCCTCTTCCTACAGGAGAGAAAAGCGCAGCTGGGCCCGGATGACTCACGCTGCAGGAGCCGAGGAGGAGGACGCCCAGCACAGCCCCACGGCGGGTGCTGGATGCTGCCGAGAGCCGGGCAGAGCTGCGCCGCGGTGCCCTCCGGGTGGGGAAGGGCTGCAGAGCCCACCAGCACTGCACAAAGAGCTGAGGAAAAACAACAACAAGAAATAAAGACCCCCACGCCACCTGGAAATAGAAACTTCTGCTTCAGAGGTACGGGAAGAGACGGAGGGGAATTCAGCGGGCAAAGAAAAGCTGCTTTTTTGGGTAAGAAATGCAGATTCCTAGGAGGGAAACAGACTTGTTGAAGGCTGGATGAGGAACCCAGACTCTCTCTAAAGCTGAGGGATTACTGCACTTCTGAAGTAGGAAAACCCAGAGCCCAAGAGGATGCTGAGCACCCCAGGGAGGCCAGGGGAGGGGGTGGCTGTCCCCTGCCACCCCGTGCCCAGTGCCAGGATGCAGCTTTGTGCCGGCTGCCCGTAACTGCACGGGCACGCACGGATATCAGCATCTGTTTTTCAAAGTGGATGGCAGAGATTCAAAATAGTTTGGAGCCCACAAGGAAATACTCAGAGAACACAGGGCCAGGATGCAGAGACACCCACACCCAGAGCACCGGTGTGTGAGCTGAGCCCCCTCGCTCCAATCCCAGCTTCACCAAATATAACCCGGCACCTCAGCACACGGAAGGGGTTTGGCACCAGTCCTACTGCAGGCAGGGTGGCCTCACACCTAATGACAGCATAAAAGAAAGGGTTCACAGATGTATGAATTATGCTTTATTTCTTTTTTCTAAAAATCTAGAAGGTAACAGGCCTGAAAACAAGAACCGCACACCACCTGAGGGCAGAGATAATTACAGATAACCTCTGCTGCACCGTCCACACACACCCTTGCTCTAGCCACAAGGAATGCTCGCACGTGCCCACCCCGTTTCTCACTTTTGGGACACGAAGCTCAGCGTCACGGGGCCTGACTTTGAGAAATGCTTCAAACCGCAGCCCGAGGAGCGTGCTCTGAAGCAGCGACACTCAGGTGTGTGAAAACCAGACACTGCCAGACCACAAGAGGAACTGCAAAAACTGCCACAGAAGTTTATAAGAACTGAGGCAGACTTAGAAGCTTTTTTTTTTTAATTATTATTATTATTTTCTTCTATGGCTCTGTAAGGAAATCAGTAATCCTGCCATGTATTTGGCTGGTACGGCACTGTTAATGCATGAGCCATATCCTAAATTAAGACTGTGACATGAAATAGTGAAAAACTATTTATTGCACGAGGATAAACAAACTTTGACTGCAGCAAACAGTCGCAGTGCAGTGCCAGCAGGTGAATGCCGCGTTAACGGCTTTGCTGCAACTGCCCCTTGCCACAGGTGGCCCAAATCACAGCTGGGACCCGGACTGGGGCTTCCTCTGAGCTGCAGCTCCAGCAGCTTTAATATCACTGCCTGTCTTCAGCTGACAAAAGTTACCTAAATGCGCAAGGACAGTTCTTAAGCGCTAAGAGGCTGCAAACTTGGAAAAAGCGAGCATGCAGGGGAGGAAATGGGAAAAAAAACAAACAACTGATCTGGGTCGAGTGGGGGGCAGTGGTGGTGCCAGGGGATGCAGCCCTCACTCAGTGCTTGCAGTGCCCAGCTGGGGAAACAGCGATGGCAAAGGCAGTGTTAAGCTTCGAGGGTCTCCATTAATTTTAAAATAAGAAGTGGGGAAGAAACTTGTCGCAGCAGGAAAGCTTCATTAGGGAAGCGCAGGTGGCCTCTCACGTTCCATTTGAAGGTACCGTATGGCACGGAAAGCAGGCAGCAAAATACATCAGGACAAACAATCTGGGATTTGCCTCCTGAGGAAAGCGTTCCGGTGACCTCAGAAGTATTCTCCAGGTCTATGATTCAGCAAAAGGAAATAAATAAATAAAGCAGCAACAGCCACCAGGAAGCGTGGGTCTGAAAATAGCAGCCAAGTGTCACCTTCATCCCCTCCGACGAAGACTCCTGCAACAGGGACAAGTTGCGAGGTGACATCTGCCTCCTGCTCTGGGTCCACGTCCTCACGCCGCCGGTGAGCCCCACCGGAGCATCTCCTGTCGCAGGAGGGGTGGCCAGGGCTTGCAGAGGCTGCTGCACTTCAGAAATAGTGCTACCTTTTGAAATTAGATTCACATCTTACAAGGAGGATGCTTTCCTGAGGTTTCAAATATAGTCAGGAGCAGATGGAAACAAATTACTCCATCATCCACCTGTCTCCATCTGCATGCCTGCTTCCTGGAGTTCTGCAACCTCAGGGACCTCCCCTCGTGCCTCCCGCTGCACCCCCAGCCTAAGACCACAGCAGGACCGGGTACGAAACAGAAATGGGCAAGTCCCACTAACCAGAGCTGATCCACAGCAACTTTTTAGGAGTTTTCAGCCTCTGAAGAAGTGAGGCCATGGACAACTTCGTGCTACCACCTTTGAGCTTTGGCTGCTTTCCTGGCCCAAGGGCTAAACAAAGCACTGGGCAAGCCCGTGGCAAAACCTTGCCTAACTCATAGGGGAGGCACGCTAGTTTTAAGGCTAGCAGGTAAGAAATATTCTTAGTACAGTAGAAAAAGCTATTTTCTACAATTAGTGATTTAAAAACAACTAAACATTGCCACTTCCACTCCTAAGCAAAATTCTTTACTCATCATCCACAAATGGAGGCTGCAGCACTCAGGCACTGCTGTGAGGGATAAAAGCAAAGTCCTATAAGAGATCACTCAAACAATCCTATTTTTGCAAGGACGACGTGACAACTGTAGAGCTTCGTCACTCTCAAAGAGAAGACTCCAGAAGAGCGTAGTGATGAGCCCTGACGAAGAGCATCATTTATTCTTAGACAAAACCAGGTAGTTAAGATTGATAATAATTGCAGGGATTTTGCTAAGCGTACCGGATTTCCTAATTATGCTAAAAGCAAGCCTTCCAGGCGCACAAGTATGCAGTTGTGTTGTGACTTATGTGCAGTCCAAACCTGTTAAAATATGAGAAATACTACGCCTGATTCATACCCGCAGCCAGCAATTTGAATTCTGTCCCATTGTACCATTATGCAGCCAACACACAATCATAATTAGTGCCACAGACTGTTTATGATTTTATTAAAAAATCCTCCCGTTAAAAAATTATCATTCTGGTGCTCTTGCCCTGTTCACGTGTCTTATTTGTAGCAAAAACCCAAATTCTTCTGAAGTCAGCGAGAGCTGCAGGTTCCCATCACCTTGTGTGAAGGCGACTCCCAACAATTTCAAAAGCAAGATTTGCTGTTATTGTTTCCCATAAGAGACTTCGTATCATAGAGAAGTACGGGATAGTTGGAAATTTAGAACCCAAAGCAAATATATACATGCACACACAGTGCAAGATCCTCAGCTAATGCAATTTTCTGAATTCCGAAGTTCCGAGGGTGTGCCAGCTGCATAGACAGCTTTAATAGGGGAACAGCTTTAATAGGGGAACAAGGGTCATGAGGTGCTGCAGAGCATCACTACAATGTAATTCACAGTGAAAATTCACTCACAATGCACAGAGCAACCTCACTCTGACTTGAACACGTGCATGACGTCTCCCTTGTTTTCTCCTTTTAATCTGGAGACAAAATGAGACCAATATCTTGTTTCTCACTGTAACACACAAGGACCGGAGGGGGAGAAGCCTGAAGACACACAGCCAGCAAGCCCAAGCACAGCTAGGAGCTTCTGCTCTCTGAAACCAGAAGCAAAGATTGCAGACAGGCTTCTTCCAGGGCTGGTCTTCTCTGCTGACTCAGAGCTTGCCTTCTATTTGCTTTTTCCCATCTTAACTCCAGATCCACTGATTATCTTTCTTGTTCTCTCTAAAAATAAGTCAAACATCTCCGTTTGCGTGCCTAAATAGCCCACTGCTGTAATTTCTCGCCTTCTGAAATTACAGTTCAAAACTTGCTTTTAATTCCATCCCCCCCCATTACCAGCTCTTTATATTCTGGCACACACAGAACAGTGCTGCTTGCCCTCTTCTCTCTGACTGGGCTCAGATTAATTAACAGGCAATAGATTTTTCTCGATTACAATCCTAAAGACCTTCTTTTTTCACAAATTAAAAACACGATGATAGATCTTTTCTTCTGGATGGTAGCTTTGATGTTACAAAAATAGTACTCGATCTGCATGGTGGATAATAGAAATTTTAATACCGATTTAATGAATTGTTTTCATGTCAGACTGACTCACGCTTAGGGTTTTTGTTTTGCAATTTTTTTAAAAAATCACAGTAAAGGAGGACTAGGAAGTTTCCAGTGAAACACCTGTGCCAGGCCCCGTGTATATGCTTAAAAGATGTCTTGCTCCAGAGATCACAGATGTGGCAGGACCAAGCTAATGAGCAAATGAAATAATATCAATCTCCATTTTACAGATAAGTGAAGAGCCTGTGGTGTCAGATCCATCATCTGCTGCAGCCTCTCAGTGACCCCACCTGGTGAGAGGACTCCGGACTGGAAACGCACAGCTGTGAACTGGCTTCCTGCCCAAAATCTATGCTGGCCCTTTCTCCCTGCTCTCAGAAGGCTATTAAAGCATTTCCAACTCATTGCTTGCGGTGTACCAAGGATTAGATACTCTGGGACAGACCGGAGGAGCACCACGCTTCCTGCATTACCAGCGCTCAGCACCCTCTGCATGGTTTGCACTCACATGTAACACACTAGCTTTATTTTCAAATTTATCAGAAGTGGGCATAAGGGGTTTCAGTAAAGCTTCAGGTGGAAATCAAGCTCTTGCACTAAAGACAGTCTGATAAGCACACTGTTTTCTCCACCATAAATCCTCTAAATTTTGGGTGTTGGTAGCACAACATTTCCATTTAGGCACCACGTTAGTCAGTCCAACTTCTGTAACTCTGGGAGAGATAGCCTTGAGTTTAAAAAAAAATCAAAATGTGTGTGTGTGTCTCAATGCTTCCGCTACAAGTTTGCTGTCCAGAAAGCAAGGACTCAGCATTTTAAAGCCCTGCTACCCTTTCTAATAATCCTTGACCAGCACAACTGAGTGCACACGGCCTAACAAATGGCTGATTCAGGTTTACGTGCTTCAGACTTGACTATATACAGTGTTTTAATTAAGCAGCCTGCTCTCTGGAGCTCATACAGAAAGCTCATTTCAAGAATAATGCTGGCAGCAAATTTGTTACCTGCGGAGTGAGCTGGGAGTTCTCCCCCCAGTTCGACACTTACCCACTTAAACTGTTTCTTGATGAAATTCACCTCTCTTGTACAGTCGGTCTGGTTTTGCCTCTCCAAACCATGATGCCTGGGCAGCTGGGAAACCTGTCCTCCTTTTGCTGCGGGGGTGGGACCCTGAAGGCCGTGCTTTATGCAATCACCCACTGCTAGATCCCCTCAGAAAGGGTGGAAGAGGAACAATATTCCTCCACGTCAGTTTCTGAGGTTCACCTTGTCTCCTAAGGAGGAAGACTCCTGTTATTTCTGCAGTAGATGGAGTATGCCTAAATGCATGCTGCTTGCTCTCTACGTTCTGTATTTCTCAAAAAAGGAGCTGTCACAAGCACTGGATGGCATATCTGAGAATATCTGCTGTGTAAAACCCTTGAAGATTTCAACACTAAACACCCAAACCTAACCTAACAACCAGTGCACGTGAAACTCCGTAAGAGGGTCTGCTGACTGCAGTGTGCACTGACAGAAGCACTTCTTCTTCCCACTTGCCAATCATATTTAAAAACAAAAACAGTAAGCATAAAACCAGCAGAGGGGAAGGAAGGGAGGAAGCTGGTAGAAAAGAAATGAGAGCAGTTGGAAGGGTTTTAATACTGCAGGCTCTGTAAAGAAATGAGAAAACAAACCAACCACCACCAACAAAACCATCTCTACCCACAATTTGGCTTCATGTTCTTCAGCAGTGAAAGCCAAAAACTTTTCAAGACCACTGTAAGGGGCATGCAGGAGTAAGATCTCCTCATACTTCATGACCCTCTCCGTGCTTTGCCTTGGCTCAAGTCTGCACAGTGCTGGTATCACCTATTACTTTCACAAAACACGAAATATTTCTTGCATTTATGGTAGTACTATTTCCTGCCATCACAAATATAATTTTGTCTTCTATCTTCATCTCAATTTGAAGTACAAATATAACTTTCTCCTGTAACAATGGCACATTTTCTATCAAAAACAACACCTCCCAAACTCAGAGCGAAGCTGCTATTGAATCTTCCTATCTGCTATCGCACAAGATTCATTTGAAAAAGTGAGTCATTCGGATGATTTAAAGTCTTACATATTTATGAAAATTGGCAAAATTATAAAATGCCTTTCAAATAGTGTAGGAAGCATAACAAAACCACACTGCACCCAGAGGCACAGAACTACCCAGCTACCTGCCATCAACATCTTGGTGACTCTTCTGCAACCGCTCCTACATTTTCAGCTTTCCTTTGAGCTTGAAGCAACCCCTGCCCATGAGCTCACGTTCCTGGGGGCTTGCTCTCTTTTTCACACTCCTTTCACACCTGTGCAGTCCCTGTTGTGGTTGCCAATTTACATCAGACTGCTCTGAGCAGCTCCTCACCCATGCTGCTGGTATGCCTGGTGGCAGGTCTCACTGATCTGATGGTGAAGAGCCTCTGGCTTCTTCCTTCACCCCAGACTTCAGACGAATTCCCATGCCGTCACACACAGCCCCCTTCAGGTATCTTGAAGGGGCAGATGCCTAGTCACACAGAGAAAGCTGGCTTGGGTCTGGGGGAAGAAAAACATGGGACAAGCCTTCCGTCCCTCTCCCACCTACACAATCACGCTAAACCAGCATTTTCACAACCTTTTCAACAGAGTCAAGAGGTCATATACAGCTGTCCCTTACAGCAGCTCCGTTCTACATCCATCTGTTCATGCATATGCTTCCACATATGCATGCAGGAAAAAAAAGCCAGCCCTTCAGACAAAATACATCCAGGCTGAAAAGCAAACAGCCCTGGGTAGCTGCTGCGTGCTTCCGTTGCACACGCCAGAGCTGCCCTACCTGCCGGCTCCATGGGAAGTGAAATCCTATATACGAACAAACAAATGCAATCCCATAAAAAATAAATAAAAGCGAAAGTAAGAGGTGCTGATTTTCATATATTTGGATAATTTTCAGCGAATTGGGAGCACGTCAGAAAGGGCCAAATATTTGGAAAAGAGAGACAACCTTATCTCCTGCCAAGAAAAAATAATGACCAACGTCAGCATTGCGAAGAGCCAAATCACTCCAAACCAACAGCTCAGTCCAGATACAGTGCAAGTCAAACTAACGAGAATTAAAATGCTGCAGTGGCCCTTCTCTAAATGGACTTAAAAAATGCAGAATTATTCCATACGACTCTAAAGCACTGATTAAATTGCTACACAGCAACGCTGGGGATGTAGGGCCCACACGCGCAGACCTAAGATGCATGAAGAACCAAAGCCAGAGTTTTCCTGTGGTGATAAGGTCAGAACTGCTCGAGTACCTGTATTTATATAGCTGGGCAGGATATTGCACTAGTCACTCTGGAAAACAGCTCCAGCACAGGTTCAGCAGCAATGCAAAGCGCTGAGTGCCACCTACCGGGCTGCTTTGTCAGCTCTGCTGCTGCAGCTGGATTTCCCTGAATCTCCCCCGAGTGCACATAGCCCAACCCTTCTCAGACTGCTGCCTCGGGCACCATCACCACCTAAGATGATCCAGCAAAAGTATTTCAGTTGTAGGCTAGTGCAAGTCGTTATAAAAGAGCCTGGCGAGCTGTGAAACTGCCTGAAGAGGCCCCTGCTCTGAGCAGCAATGTGGCTGGAAGGCTAAAAGGAAAGGACTGCTCCAGCTGCAGAGTGGTGCAGGTGCCAAGCAGTTGGCTGTCTGGAAACCAGACTGGTTCCTGAAGAGGCACCACTGCATGCAACTATCATGCTGGTTATATATCACTTTGTGGACATAGTAATAGGGAAGCAGAACCTTGGGTTCTCCGGATTTACTGACACTGGAAAGCTGTGCCCCCAGTATACTGCAAACAGCATAAATTACATCCTACAGATAGCTACAGTCTGAATACAAGGGCAGTGTCGTGGCTGAGGAGGTCAAGAATCCAGAGCTAGTTGGACAGAGAGACCTTGGAAGACTTTGAAGAAAAGCCAACACCACTACCCATGGAAACACTGAAGGTTTCTGACGCTTCAGAGAGCCTCAGAATTATCAGGTTGTAAAACTCACAGACAAAGAAAAGGCAAAAGCCAGGAATTTAGTTTCCTTTAGTCAGACAAACAAGCAGAGTAAAAAAAAAAAAAAAAAAGTTATTGGTGAAGATTTATTGCTTAAAACTGTCTCTGGTTACGTGAATGGCTGGTAGGAGGTTCTCACCAATCAGTCTGCCAGCTCATCTCTCACCAGCACAGGGAATCGCTTGCCGCCTTCACAGAGCTGGGTGTAAATCGCCCGATACAGCTGAGCTGCAGAGGCCTCTGGGCATGCCTCGGACTCCAGGACAGGCAGCAGTTCTGTCATCGTGAGCTGGGCAGGAACAAAGAAGACACGTCACCAGAGCAGGGCCAGGGTGCGCTTCTAGGATTCCTGGAACTGAAGTGGCTGCATAACAAGCAAGAGCTAACCAGAGCAGTATGAGTAATACCACATTAACTGGCAGATAAATGCTTTCTTTTGTCACATTTAACAGCGACAGAGCTGTTCATCCCCTGCTCATAAAGCACACCAGCAGCCACCCAGTGCTCCTCAGCCAGCGAGATAAGTGGCAGCGCTTTTCTTCTGCGGGCTCTGACAGCACCGTGCTGCAGAGAAGGCCCAGCGCTGGGATGAGATCAGCTCTCTGCAAGAAACTCAAAGCAAGCACGTACGAAGTTGATCTGGGAGCTCTGCAACCACACAGCCAACAGCTTACTCACCCACTGCTAAGTTCAGCTCATTTACGACTGATTGCTCTTGCCTCCTCCCACTTGGGTCACATTAATACAAGACAGGTGGGCAAGAGGCCAACTCCAGCCCATGCAGAACAGGGATGCTGCTGGGGATGCTAGAGCTGTCTGACTTTCCTTGATCTGACCCCTGGCTTATTAAGCCTAGCTCGTGATCTCAGTCCACACTCCCAAATGACCATTGGCCTTTCACAGTATAATTAGCAGCACAAAGCTCTGGGATGATGGCTGGGACTGCCAACCCAAGCAGAAGTGTACTTCCTGTTGAAGGACAAAGTTACCCTTTAGTGCCCCAGTCCTGAATTAACACTCAGAAAGGCATTTTGCCTGGGAATTTTTCAGCTAGTATCTGCTAATGAGCACCAAGCAGTCTGCTCATTAAAACTCCACAGTCTACTAGGCACGCTGGCTTCCCAGGAGAAGAGTGGACAATCAATTGCATGTGACAATCACGTCCCTCAAAGTGTGGTTCAGTGGTGGAAACGAAGACCCAAACAGAACAGGGTACAGGACATCTGCAGGGGTTCCCCTCTCCAGTCCTCTACAAACCTCTGCAGGAAACAGGGACAGAGCACAGTTGCTAATCTCTGGAAAGAGTTAAGATTTGTGGACGTAAGGAGAAAATTGGCACAAGAAGTGCTACATTCCCCCACTTGCTATGAGAAACACCCTTCTCTTTTCCATCCCCTTGATCTGCTCCTAATGCAGAAGGATAGAGGAAAACAGACCTACACCAAAGACAAGCTAAGAGTTAACAGGACCAGGACTTTTTATGATTCTTGCTGTTTCTCTACAGAAAGGCAATGGACAGGGCTGGCCCAGAAACATGAAGCACATTTCCCAGTACATTTATCTTGTACCATGTCCATTTACTTCACCTGTCCCAATAATTTTACTTATCTCACATACTCTACACAGAGCTGCTTCAGATACTCAGCGCTCACCTAACACAAAGCATCTATTTAAATACAGATGCAGAGGAAATAGGGCCAGTCGATGAAGCATCAGGCTTCAGTAACTACTACATTATGGGCACACGGATAGCAAAGATCTCACAACCCGTAAATCAAGGATATAGCACTAAAAGCCCTGTTGAAAACAAGCAACAGTCCATCTTCAGCCAGAAAGGGAAGTATGGCCACTTACAAATAACTCTTCCTCAAGTTATTAAAAATACCCTGCTTTTCCAAAGACTCTGTCATTGACATAGCCTTTGATCTATCTCAGAGGAAGAGGGTAGATGTGATTTCACAGATCTCTGCCCTTTGCTGTTGGAGGTTGAGAAGAACAAATGATCTCTGTGCAGCAAGCTCTCTGGTGGAGAAGCTGACCTCCTTTCATGTTCTTACAGGAAGTCTCAGGAAGGTAGAGTCAAGAGTAGCAGCACAGTGGTTTGAAATTTAAAGGGGGACTATAAAGGTCTGCCAAAAGCAATCTCCAAGCACTTCCAACATCCTCCACTGCCTTATTCCAAAAGAGTGGCTAAAAAAAGGGTCTGACACTGAAAGCGCTCTGCTGTGGTCTTAAAAGAGTAAGTCTGGCTATCTGCAAAGTGAGGCACTCATGGGACAGAGTGAAGCATAAACACAGAAACACCACTGGGAGAGCCTGCTGTACTACTGCTCCTCCATCACGATCCAGCATCCCAACTTCTGCACCACAGTTGCCCTTTTCTTGCCCTATACTTGCCCTAAGAGTGCGTTAACAACCTTAAAGACTCACCTTTTGTAAGGCAATTTCCTGGTGCAGCATCGACACTTGCAGCTTCAAGGCAAACAGGTCCCTCAGCTCCTGGAAGCTGGAGTACCAGAGGAGAGGCACAGCCAGCGTGCCTGCACCACCACATGACCGACCCCTGGCAGGAACACAGGCGGGACAGCAGCTTCCTACATCCCCGGTGCAGTCTGGGTGCAGCCTCTTCTGGGACTCAACAGCTGTCAGGGTGAAGAATTGGCAGGAGACAGGAATATGCACGTTAAACCTGTACTCACAGAACTTGTCATCTACTTAGTGTCCCTAGAAATTAATGACTAATGACATTGGACTTGTCAGGGTAAGCTCCTCGTACATGGCACGATGGGGACATCTTAAGTTACGGCATGCAGCGTCCCCAGTCTCTCGATGGTTTCGTCACCAACTCTTCTGAATCGCACCAGGTAAAACTTTCGAGCCTCTCCCAAACACAGATGGGTGGCAAACAGGTACCGTGGCTTCACTTGCCACTAAAGAGGGTTTTACGAACTACTTTACCATGGATGATAACCAGGAAAAAAATGATGTTGGTCCATAATGCTCTGAACACAGAGGGCAACCCACAGTTCAAGCACAGCTGGCCACATTCACACCTGACCACAAACACAAGGGCTGGCTCACCTGCTTGCAGAAGCTGCAGCTTACGCAAGCACTGGGAGACTGTGCTTTGCAAACCCTCCAAGGTTAGCAGGCTTTCATACTCTCTTTGCAGAGTGGGATGGTCTAGAAGAGAAGCAGAGGAAAACCAGCATGAGCATACTGTAACTTCTCTCCACTTACCACCTCCTGGAGTGACCTTGGGTTAAACCAGCCCGTACTTTGGACAGAGAAGGCTCCTGTCCCTGTCCCTGATGTCTGTCACACACCAAGAGCAAAAGATGCATCGAATTGGAACCCACCCAAATCATCCTTACTCCATGCTCTGCCCTCCTCTCCTGTTTCCCCTTTTTCTTACCTGCAGGCTCAGCTTCCACATACTGTCTCAGAAGGGACGGGACATCCTGGAGGACCTTTAACTCCTCCTCTATCTCCGCAGGACTGAGTGCTGGCATCGGTGAACAAAACTCAAACAGCAGCAGCTTAAGGAACATTACACAGCACAAACCCTGTGCACTACTTTGAGCCCCAGGCAGCTGGGATTAGGGGCAGTGGCAGAGGGTAAGCGGCCCATGAAGGATCATTTGCAGACAGCAGGAGAGGACAGCACAGCTGTCCAGGGCCTCTTTATCTCGTGGCCTTGTTTGTCTGGATACCAAGTTTTATAACTATTCAAAAGCTATGAAAAACTATGAAAAAGAAAAAATATTTCCTACAGACTGGACTTAACCTGCCGTTACTGGAGGTGTAACTCTCCAAATGGAAATACCTCCTGAGCCTGCTGCTTGCTGCACTGCACCACATGCTCTTGAAAGGAGGTGGCGAGCTGAGGAAGGATACAGTAGTCTGGATCCTCTCTGTAAAACGCTTCCTTGCAGCTGCTGCATCTGCACTTGTTTGGCAGAGACGACTTCTCTCCCATGCCCTGAAAATTCAAAAGGGACAGGACGTGGAAGAGTTATGCTGTGCTATGAAGGACAGCGCTCACACTGAGCTGTGACACACCGATACCACATCAGCACTTCAAACACAAGCATCTTCCTCGCCACTTTCTTCTACTAGACAAAGTGGCTGTTCACTAGCCACTCAGTTTTTCAGACTGGTATGAGACCGACAATAACACCCTACAGAAAGCTTCAAACACTGCAAAACACCGTGTCCTTTCTCTCAGCTTGGTTTGAGGCACAGGGTTTGCAGCCAGCAGAAGAGACAACACACTTCCATAAAACAGAACGTGAACCTGCAGCACATCAGTAATTCTGCTGCATTTCCCTACATGTGCTTTTATCCCACAGGAAACATAATAAGCTTCCATTTTTGTCTTGGGGTGGGGGACGAGTCCCTTGCATTTCTGTACATTTTCTCTTTTAGCAAATGCGTACAAAAAAGTTACTGTGGTAGAGCAGACAGGACAAACGCTCACCCTAGCTTTTACCACCACGATTCCTTCATCAGCTAAACTTCCTCAAGACTCTTATTTAATTTTATTTTATCTTTTTAAAGACAGAGTGGCATTTTTGGCAAGAAGCATGACAGCCATGCACCAGTATCATGGCCACAAAAACCAGAGGTTTAAGCACAGTATCGAAGTAATCTGGACAGGACTTTGTATCAGAGACCAGGTTTTAGAAGAAAATGTTATGCTAATAATAGTGCTACCATGGAGGTGCATTTAAACTAGACTTCAACATTCCCACTGATGCCCAGACCCCAAAACATCCTTTATTCAAATGACTGCTTTAAAGAGCTGGTGCATCTCAGCCATTTCCCCCAAACCTGCCACAACAGCAAGAGCCATCAGGAGGAAGCTTAAAAATAGCTATGTAGTACATGACTGTCTAACCCAAGCGTGCATGTGTCTTCTCTCCATCTGGATGGATCTTTTAAATCATGATAGAAAATGCAGTTTTCAGAAACACATTATGCAAAGAAATAGTAAGGTTAATGGAACAGAAAAGAACAGAAGTTACCAGGAGTGCCAGGCAAGATGCATTCTCTCTGTAAGTGATCTTCAGCACAAAGGTTATTTTCAATTTGTCACTAAGATGAAAGTAATTGTGAAGAGTGTAAAATTGTACTGGAGTGATTAGGATGCTGAAAGGCTTAATTTACAAGGGAAAATTAAGGGAACCAAGTCTTTACAACTTGCTGAAGGGCATCTGACAAATTGCTGTCTGATAAATGACAGTTCCCCACAGGAAGAGCCATTCTTGAGGGTAACACAAAGAGCTGTAACTAGATTTAGAGTTAAGCTTAATGTCTGGACAAATCACATAATTAGAAATATGCTAAATTATCACAAGATTTCCCGAATTAAGTGGTGAGAGAATCCTTCCTGGGGACTGGAGAATAGACGAAAGCACCAAGCTCACCGAAAACCCAGCTACTTGCACCACCAGTGCAGTAACATCGCAGTTGTCTCTGTTTATGCTCCTCAACGTGCAAGATGTACATTTTCAATTTGGGGATTAACAAGGATTAAAACTCTGAAAACAAATGTAAAACTTCTGGCTAGATCAGCATAAATACACACACACTTGAGAGCAGCCTTGCAGACACCTGTGTGGGGCTGCTCCTCCTGCTCCAACACTGCAGGGCCGATGCCCAGCCTGCCCCAGAAACCAGCCAGGGCTTCCCCCACCCTGAGATCTCCTTCGCAGCCCTTCAGCAGAGGGCAGCCGTGGCCTGGACTGACCAGGCTGGGCTTACCTGCAGTTCCTGGAGTAGGCTTTCCTGTAGGGATGAGGTAGCTTCAGCTGGCATCTGCAAAACAAGAGAATCGTTAACTGTGACTACTGGAGGTCAGCAGAGCCTGGTTTTCTCGTAGAGAAAGTTACATTTTGTTTAAATTTGAAACAAATTTAGCTGTAATGGAAGATGTCAAAAGCCCTGGAGATGGAATTCACCACTGCCTGCAGCCTGTCCTCAAGGCATGAGGATTAGGCGCTTCCACAAACATCAAAGGAGCTGGCCTAGGAGAGCTCCTACATCCTCCCACCAGCAACCAGTGCTTCATCCAAGGTGAAGAGCCAGGACCAAGCCCTGACAGAGCAGAGTGAAGACACAGAAGCAACACCTTCAAGGAAGCTAATCATTAAAAATGTGTACACGTGCAAACCTTCCTAGCTGTACTGCCATACCTGAGCACAACAAGGCAGCTTTGCTTAGCAACACATGACACAAAGCAATGCAAAAGGAACATTTCAGCTTCCTCTGGGTATATTCCTCCTAACTCCATAGTAGAATAAAACCTAACTTGTGATTGCAAAAACAGGCACGTTGGCAGGTACGGCTAGAGTCACGTGCAACCTATGAACACAGGACTTTAGGGGACTGGGATGATTAGTAGATGGAGAGGGAGTTCAGGTGGTGTTTTCCTCCATCCCTACAGAGGCAGGGAGGGATACAGAGAGGACATGGAAAGCCCACCTGATAAACACGTGGCTCAGGGGCTGGAGCCAACACAGAATTTTATTATTTATTTATTTTTTGACCATGGGGTGCTTTACTCAGTACCCGGGCTGCTAACTGTGGATGGGTCCCACCTGTCTCTAAGGGGAAAACGGATACTAGCCCAGGAGCTGGCAGGGCTAGTCTAAATTGTAAAGGGTCCTTTCTACTGAGAAGGATCTGAGGAGCTGTGAGACCAAAGCAGGCCCTACAGAGCAGTAGACAACAGAGCAGACTTGGTAGATGTGCCAGGCTGAACGTCCAGCAGAGCTGAACAAAGGTTCCAGCACTCACCCCAGCACTCACCCCTGTTGCTGGACGGTGACTGTCTGAGGTAAGGTGCTCCCTCCTCCAGCTGTTGGGTTCTCCTTTCTGCTGGACTCTCCAGGGGAACCACAGCTTTTCTTCCCTGCATCAATTAGCTGCCTGCCAGCAGCTACCAAGTTCCTTTCCCCAACTGAATACCTTATGGAGCTTTGCTGTTCCTTGAGGGCAGATTTGGATGACCCAGGTGCGTTTCGGAGTTCAGTCACAGCACAGACCCCTTGGTCACTGGCACTGTTGGCTGGCCTATGACTCCTTCCTTGTCTGGAAGCTGCCCCTTTTGAAGAGCTCTTCCCAGCTGTCCTGGGACCCTGAGAAACACATCTGGCTGGGGCTCTCCGTTGTGTTTTTTTTACATCTGGGTCAGTCCTGTAAGGTGCTCTTAGCTGGTATGGAGAGGGCTTCTTCAAAGAGGCAGGCTTTTTGCTTACAGCCCTCGCCTCCCTGCTCACAGGCATATCTCTGCCAGATACAGGCACATCTCTGCCAGACACAGGCACTTGCTGTTCTTGAGCATTCTCGAAAGCAGATCCTTCACCTGCGGGTTTCTCTGCAGGAGCTACTTGGGCTTCCACCGGAGTTTTTGAGATGCTTTTCCGGACTCGCAGTGCCTTCTCTAAGGCCCTGTTCAGCAGCTCCAGCTCTTCCAGCTCCTTCGGTGAAGGCCTGCTCTCTGTGAGAGGAGAAGACGTATCAGAGGATCCAAACCCGACTCATCCCCGTTTCTCTCTACATTACCTCACTTCCAGCTGTGGTGGGACGAAGCGGAGCCCACTGGACGGCGCGACAGGCGCTGTGGCCACACACCCACCGAGCAGCGGGCAGAAACGCCCAAACCCCAAAACCCAGCACTGATGGGGGTCACAGAAGGAGATCCTCGCCCTTTGGCTGACAAGCAGCAATCCCCTCATCTTGGTCACTGCACCATGGGGGTGTTGGTGGGAGGGAGAAGCAGAGGAAGCCTTGCAGGCAGCGCAGCAGGAGGGCTTCCAACACCCCAGCCGGCTCAGCCAAGGCCCTGTGTGACACCATACGGAGAGAGAAGCGCTCACCACATCCATCCTTGGAGCTGGCCTCTGTCTTGGGCTGTTCATCGTCCTGGCCGGCCCTGCACGGGGGGGTGCACACAGAGCACACGGCGTTGCCACACACCCCCTGCCCGCTCCCTGCACCCCCGGGAGCCTCAGCCCGGGGGCTGCGGGGGGACCCGGGGGCTCCGGCCGGGCTCGGGGCCGCACTCACCGCCGCAGGAGGCCCCGGCTCCTGGCCGCCCGCTGCTCCAGCTCCCTCCGCCGCTCCGCTCCGCCGCCCAGCGCCTCCACCAGCGCCGCCGCCAGCCTGCAAAGCCCATCCGGGGCCGTCAGCCCCAGCCTCCGCCACCACCCAGCCCCGCGCCCTCCCGCAGCCGCTCACCGCCTCCCGCAGCCCGCAGGCAGCATGGCCCCGCTCTGCTGGGCTTCCCCAGCTCCGTCCTGCCCGGCCAGGCCCTGTACGAGGCCGGGGAGATCCGGGGAAGGGCGGCCCCAGCCCGCGGAGCACCGCCCAAGAGCTCCGGGGCGGCCCCGCTGCGCCGCCCGCCCCCGGCCGCCACGGCCCGGCCCTGCCCGCCCGCAGCGCGGAGCTCTCGGGGTGCAGGGGGCGAGGTGCCCCTGGGGGGAGCCTGAGGGGTCCTCGCCTCGCAGGGCTGAGTGCCCAGCATGGGGTGTGCGGGGCTGCCCCGCCGCCCCGTAACTGCAGGCTCCTGTGGAGAGAAAGCCGGGGGCTGTCGGTGCCCCCCCAGCGCTTGTGGAGCCAGGACTGGAAGCCCCTCGCCTTGTTTTTATGTCAGTAAAACTGAACTGATGGCACAGGGTCCTAGGCTGCCCCCGCACCGTCCCAGCCTGCCTCCAGAAGCCGTTTGTGCACCTGGGGTGGGCAAAGAATGGATTTCTGCAAAGTCTGCAACAACCAGAGAATTGTGTCCATCTCCCACCGGGCTGAGTTCACTGCCACAGCACCCAGCGATTCGGCTTTCCGAGGCCAAGCAGCACCCAGCCTGTGCCTCCATGGGCCAAGGGGCCCCGTGGCGCTACCCGGAGTGCCGGTCAGGTCACAGAGCTCCTGCAGGCCTTGTGGACAGAAAGGGCTTGGAATCACCACATGTGCTATAATTGGCATTTTGGTGCAAACAACAGGCATTTTTGGCCAAACCGATTGTTTCATCCCAACTCCAAGTGCACCAAAGCGTCTCCTGACTCCCATCTTGAGGCAGAATTATTGCCACGGTTTTCTCCCAGGGAGGTTTCAAAGCCGGTTGCAGATGTGGTGCCAGGACAGCTGCTGAGGGGTGGTTCTGCCTCTGCTGCAGCCACCACGTGCTGCAGGAGGTGAGGCACAGATCTCGTTCGGCACCTGCATGCTGTTGACATTTAAGCCATTAGAAACAGCTGGAAAGAAGATCAGTCCGCTGTACTGTAGGAAAGTCACGGGAGGCTTGATCTGATGTCACCAGCTTCTGCATCACATCTCCGTGGTTTGGAAATGCTGAGAAAGGAAGGCTCCCACCACCAAGTTTCACTCAGCATTTGAGATGAACCAGGCCTGCGACCCCTCCAGAGCTTTGTGCAGGCAGCGGGATGCCTGCCGAGGCTAAGAAAGCTGCGATGTTGGGAAGAAGGCTGGAAAGGACGCTTCCACTGGGAAGAAGGACAGGTGGCCATTTTGTGCCACCCCTGCTAGAGCCTGGCCCTGGCCTGGAGTCGGAGCAGGGCTGGGCGAGCAGCATTGCCACCAGAGGGGTGGCGTGTCAGGAGGGTGAGGCCGGAGCTGCCCCTTCCAGCAGCAGCCAGCGTGGCGATCGTTAAGCTGTGGAGCGAAACTGTGCTGCAAGAGGTGGGGTGAGGTGATAATTAGCAGGCGGGGAGCAGGAGCTTTCTGACAGGGATCAAAGCACTCTGCTAGCACTTGAAGCTCGAGACCTGCCCATGACAGAGCAGCCTTGCTGCCCTAAGAGTGCTCTCATCCTGTGTGAGCAGCCCCTCTCCTGCTCTGTCTGCACCTCTGCCACCAGCTCCTGCTGCCCTTTGTGGAGCCTTGCAGCTGCTGAGCAAACCCAGTGGGACCTTCTCTTGTGGCTGGTCACCTTTCCCGTGGCTCATCTGGCAAAACCCAAGGTAATCGTGTCTAATTTTTTTTTTTTCATTGACAGCAGCTCCTGGTAGAAGGGGTAAAGAGCAAAAAGCAGCATTCTGTTCACGAAGCAGTGAGCCCTGACCCAGCACTGCCCTGATGTGCCGGCACAGGAGACATTTAGGCCAGGACTGAGTGCTTGTGTTTGAAACTAACAGAGTCTAAACCATCCTCCTATTTCATGTTAGTGCTTGCTGGGAAAATGCTGGGTGCTGTGATACAGCACACGCTAAATAACATTTAAGTTGATGCTAATTACTACTTAAAGATCTATTTGCAAAAGACAAGTAGGTTAAAATACCTGTGCAATGTCGAAGTGGCAGCTGCTCCAGTTGTTTTCAGTCCCTGCACTGGTAATGTGTTTTGTGTAGGTGAAATATGGGGGAAGTTATGGTGTCAGCATTTTTTGCTTAGATTGACGGGTACCCGGTACTGTTCTGCAATCCATATTCCTTCTTTACTGATGGCCCAACAGTCAAATGCCTGGAAGCTAATAAATATAGCTGTCCATACACTTGGGTCTCCTGCTGGGTGCCTAAAGGCCTTTGAAAACTCAGCCCAGAGTCCATCATGGCAGGAGTCCCTAGGGTAAAATTCAAGCAGGCATCACACTTGGATGAACACCAAGGAAAAAAAAGTAAGAGACTGAAGCAGGGCAGATTCCCTAAAGTGAACTGCTTCTTCACCCAGTGCTTATTTCTGTGCTGGAGAGTCCTAAACGATCCTGTTAGACTACTGCGTCTGGCAGCTAATCCCTAATAAACCTACACAAACTTTATTATATTATCCCAGCCATAGTCCTCCTGCGTGCTGCCCTTAGAGATGAGAGCATCTGCTGAGCCGACATGGGAAAATCCTCCCTGTATACCCCAGGGTAATGTCCCACACAGACACCTCAGGTTCTGGAGAGACACCTTAAGGACTGGGGAACTGACACACACTCTTCTCTGGGTCCCAAAATGTTCTTGTTTGAGCCAAGGGAGGGAGGGAGGGGAAAGCCTCACAGTAATTCCAGCGCGAGCCTGTGGATGTTGCTGTGCTGCTGTAAAAATGCATAAATATCCAGAGATCCTTCTTCAGCCCTTGTTGTCATCTTTCTGGAGCAAAGACTCCAGGAAATTAATCTGTGGGAAACGTGGGTTATAAATAGATTCCCAAACCCTGTATTTTGCTGCAAGTGAAATCCCTGCAGAATTCGCAGGGCTATCAGCGAGATGTGGGAAAGGGACGCAGAACGCCCTGGGAAGAGGCTGTCTGCAGCTGGGAGCGAGGGACGTCTGTGTGCAGGGGGCACGTGGATCTCCCTGGGGTACCCGGCGGTGCCGTGTCAGTCCCCAGGCATGTTCCCGAGCTGCAGGTCACAGGTTGCAGGCGTTTGTGAAATGGGGACAAGCAACAGCTTTGTGAAACTGGCCGGGATGTTAATGCTGGAAACAGTGGGAAGATGCAGAAAGAGGAGGGAATATCTTTCCAAAAGTGGTCTCCTGAGGCGTGGGGTGTCCGAACAGCACTTTCCACTATCGGCCTGGAGTTTGGGGCAGGCAACACCCCCGTGGGGGGCACGCAGGGTGCTGGCAGCTGGGTTTCTTTGCTGTGTGGGCTCCAGCAGCGCCTGCTCATGCTGCAGCCCGATGGGGTGATGAGTCTTCCTCCAGAGGCTCTGGCTGCAGTGCTGGAGCACAGAGCTGGCCACGGGCAGGACAGGGGGTCTGTGGCACTGTGGGGCTGCCCGTCCACAGCAGGGGATGAAGCTCTGGCCCACAGCGAGGGGGATCTCTGCACAGGGTGTCCAAACCCGGTCTGGCTCCCCACGGAGCCTGCTTGGCCGTGAGGATGGAAGGAAGCGAGGTGCTGTGGTGTGGGGAGAGAAGGGTGTTTCAGCCAGGAGATCTGTGCTGTGGGGTGAGTCTCGGGGTCAAGGAGACTCGGCCAGGGTGTTTGGAAAACATCTGCAGCGATTTGTCACGCTGCAAACACTGTGTGCAGGAGCCCTCTGCCTCCGGTGGCTGTGTTTTCTGACACGCTGCAGTAGCACCGGGGTCTTTCCTTCCCTGTCCTGGTAGCAAAAGATGCCCTTAACACAAGCAGTTCCCATAAAACCAGGCAGGCAGTGCATCTGCCACAGGGGAAGCAGTGGATTAATCCCCTGCTGGGGAGTGAACGTGTGAGGGATGATCACGTTAGCACGTCTTCAAAATCCTGAGCCCAAGCTGAGGTCTCCATTCACACCAAATGCTCACGGTGTCGCTCAGAGTTGTCAGACTGTGAACAGGTCTGGTGCAGTGCTGTATTGCCGAGGAATTTATGGGGCTGTTTTACCCTCGAGGCTTCTCGCTGGCTGATTTACAGCCTGGGAAAGCACAGCCAAATGGAAACCCGAGGGCTCCTTCCTTTCTCCCAGCCTTCCCACAGCATGGGTCTTCATGAGGTGGGGGAGATGGGGTTTCTGTGGGGCTGGGAACACCCGCCCGTGGACCAGGACTTCTGCTGCAGACTCACGCATGGATAGTATTGGACCTGCCCCTAAAATGTGTGCAGTGATGTGTTAGGGAACCTTCACGCCTGTATCCTCACCCACCCCTTGCTGCCTGGGGGCTGCTTCACTGTGCCCCTCCAGCACCAGCACTGCTGCTGTCAAACAAGAGGCTCACTGCAGGTTTGATGGGGAAAGGCCCCAGCAGAGCAGAGTCCCTTGAAGCGATCAGCTTCTTCACCCAGGGCTTATTTCTCTGCCAGAAAGCCTTAATCCCACCAGACAGCATTGCCAGGAGGTTGGCATGACCGCTTGGTGCTTGGGGTGTTTGCACCCCGAGGAAGGAAAAAAAAAAGAAGCTATTGGAGAAACTCATTAAAAGAACAAAAAAAAAAATACAAAACTAATAGAAGGTAAATGCAAAGAGCTGAGCTCTGAGGCAGGAATCCCCGATCCACATTTTGCAGGGGAGAATTTGCTGGGGAAATAACCCTGCCCGTTGTCTGGTTGCGTGTCCCGTGCTTCTGCTGTTCGCTGCAGGTAGAAGCTGTGTTGGTCTCGGCATGATCCATAAGGCCTGCGACCCCGAGCTCCCCGTCCCTGCCACGGTGAGCAGCCTCTGGCCTGCGGTGGTGTTCCTGTGTTTGGGAAGCTTAAACAGGAACACGAGGGCTGGGGGCAGCAGGTGCCTCAGCCGTGCTGACTCCGATGACCCCCAGGCTCCGATGCGAGCGAGCGCAGGCTCTGACGGATGCTGGGTTTGAGTCTGAGCCCCGTGGAGGATGGAGGGGAGCAAAAGCCAAAGGAAATCTTTTCCTATTTCTCTGAGTTGCTGGTAAAGCGTAAAGCAAATTTATTTTCTCGTCTGCTGCTGTAATACTCACAGATAAAGGCTAAAACCTTGCTGGCTCTCTGCTTATTAGAAGCCCAAACACGGGGCATATGTACCTGAGAGAGGTGAGGCTTCTGAGACAAACACCACTACGTTTATTCCCACATATCTGCCTTCCAGTTAAAGGAAGGAACATCAAACCTTTCACTTGGATGGGCTCTGTCTTTTCCCACCTCAAGATGTTCCTGGCCAGGACGTGAGGGTTGTTTTGCTGCACTTGCCTGGAAGTGCCTGTGCAGTGGGATGGGGAGAGCACAGCAGGGCTCAGCCCGGCCGCCCCACACACCCAACGCCTCCCTCCACTGGGAATGGAACAACCAGTGGGGAAGAAAAACCTCCAGACACCTCCATATCCACATAAACAGAGGTCCTCACAGGCAGAGTTCTCTGTGCTTTTCTGGCAGCAACGCCAGCACAATAAGCCATGGCTTTAGGAGATGCTTTTCCTAATCGCTCTTTTATTATTCTCCTTCTTTAGCTAATAATACGGAGTTAGAGGTGAAGGGAAATGCCAGTTCTGAGTGCTGTCCCTGCCTCTGCTGTGGTGCAGTGACTGATGCTGGAAGAGGCTGCGGTAATATATTTAGATTTTAATAGAGCATTTGATGCTGTCTCAGAAAGTCTGCTGTGCAAAAGCAATTAGGACAGGCTGTACGTGGAAGCTAATGACAGAGAGAACTGTTTCAGGTGGAGGAAGGTGTTTAAATTCCTGCAAACATTACTGTCAGATTCAAACCTGATTAATCAGATCAAATTAATATCATATTCATCTTTGGCAGCGGACTCAGACAAGACCTTTCAGCTCCGGGCCATCACATCATCTGTTGCATAGGTAAGAGCATTTGATGAGCTCTGTCCCGTTCCCTGTGGGCAGCAATCACACTTCGAGCTGAGCTCATTGATTTACTTTATTCAGTTTCATCTTCCCCATCTGGAATTCAAAAATCACTGCAAGTCTCCATATGCTAGAAATCTCCTTTTCATTACCCCTGAACTTGATTTAGCACATAGGATGGAGGTTTTCAAGGCGCTTTCAGCTATAAAGGCTTCCAAATTCAACTGTCCGTTTTTCATCTGAGTGCATTCAGCTGAAAGCGAGGAAGCACCTTTCCAATCAATCGATTCGGAACTGCTCCAGACGCGTAGACACATGCACATCATCCTTGGAAAGGTTTCTGCTCTCTGATCATATCTCACACTCAGTTTCTCACTCACCCGTCTGCTAGGAGGGCATCCCTGCAGCTCCTGCTGATATCTGCACTAGAACAACCTTCCGTTTCTCATCCTTGTCAGCAAGGTCGGCATTATCAGACAGCTCCAGCTCTTGGATTTATTCATAAAAGTTCCCATCTGCTGTTTCTGAATGGTGAGGGAATCTAAATTCTTTTCTTAAGGCCTCATCTCTGAAAAAAAATATATGTATCAGTGCTGTGTGCCTGGATCATCCTGCAAGGGTCGATATTTCCATCCAATGCCATCTGCCCGCAGCAGTCATCCTCCATCTCTCGAGCTGTTTCACGCTCCTCTAGTATCCCCACTGGGTGTGTTGAAATGCTAAGACTCTAATCATCAGTAGAAGCAGTTATTAGGTCTTAATGGGAGGTCATATCAGACCGAAG